GGCAGTGGGCACAAAGTGGGTGGGGGGAGGGGGGCAGTGGGCACAAAGTGGGTGGGGGAGGGGGGCAGTGGGCACAAAGTGGGTGGGGGGAGGGGGGCAGTGGGCACAAAGTGGGTGGGGGGGGGGGGCAGTGGGCACAAAGTGGGTGGGGGGAGGGGGGCAGTGGGCACAAAGTGGGTGGGGGGAGGGGGGCATGGGCACAAAGTGGGTGGGGGGAGGGGGCAGTGGGCACAAAGTGGGTGGGGGGAGGGGGCAGTGGGCACAAAGTGGGTGGGGGGGGGGGGCAGTGGGCACAAAGTGGGGGGGGGAGGGGGGCATGGGCACAAAGTGGGTGGGGGGAGGGGGTCAGTGGGCACAAAGTGGGTGGGGGAGGGGGTCAGTGGGCACAAAGTGGGTGGGGGGAGGGGGGCAGTGGGCACAAAGTGGGTGGGGGGAGGGCCGCAGGGTCAGGGACATCTGTGAAAAAGAGCTTTAAAGTTCATCGGATTCGTCCTGCAGTCTCAATAAAGACGATGGTTCTGCTCGCCTTGCCCAACCCGGAACGGTTCTGCCACTGGTCGGCCCTGCGGTGATCTCTCTCCCCTTGTAGACGACCCCTCCGCTGCCTCTTAGCACATCTTGAGTGCACCGCACACGCTGGATTTGATTTCAGAATCTGTTGTCTTTATTTAGAAGGGAGGAGGAATCTGATGAGCTATGAATCGCTTTTTTCACGGACGTCCAGTGGGTGATGTGGCGGGTGTAACGGGCGTGTCTCCGTCCGCTGCTGCAACATGTTTTTGCAGGGTATTCTGACGTCGACGATGGCGCCACTGTGTCCGAATGTCCTCCCCAATGAATGCGCCCTGCATTGTCGCGGGCGTGTCGCTACCGGCGCCCGACGAGCGGCGTGACGAGGCGCCGTCGCCCCGCAGTGCGGTGGCGTGGCCGCCTGCCCAGCGGCCACGCGCCAAGGTCGGAAGACGTTGGCACGTGGCCCGAAACCATTGGACCAACGTTGGTCCAACGTTGAGCCAACGTCGGCCCCAACGTCCACGTTGACCTGCGTCGCGTCTCTTCCGCCGCTGGGAACGGCACTGGAATCGAACAGTGGGAGATCCGCAGGAATCGATATTCCAATGCTTTGTTGATTACTATTGAAGGCTTTGGTTATCCAGTGGGTACTGCTGTACACGTGTCACCAAATGTAATTTAATTCCCATCATGCCCCGAGGTGGCATGCGCCACCTCGCATTACCCGTTTCTATCACTCCGGCCTCTCTATTCATTTGAAATGAAAGACCATTGCCTGAACCGTCGCCTGTTATACATGGTTTTTCCCTTTAAGGCAACAGTGTTGTTTGTGAGTGTGTTGATTTTTGTTTGTGTGAGACCCGCTCAACGCGTTGCTGTGTTGAGCCACGGTGGTTGCTAGGAGCTGAGCTTCATAAAATAGAACCTCGAGCGAAGCGCGTCTCGGTGGGGCTGTCTCGAGTGCGCTTCCTGGTTGTACACAATATTGTTCGGCATTGTGTTCGACGTTTCGCTTCACGTGCTGCGAGCTACTTCAGGAACTAAAAACACAACTGAAAGCTCAAATAACCTTCAGTTGTTATGCTCCATACTCTTTGAAGTCACGAAAAGCTTTAAGTCAAGATTTGTTATGCCCCGTTAATTATATATATAATCAGCACACTCGTCAACAACACTGCTTTAAAGAAACATATAATCGGTGACGGTTCGGGCAATAGCCCTTCTTAACACATCAATGAACCTGCATCTCCATTGTGCCACCTCTGTCGTCATTAAACTGATTCGTTTAAAATCACTCAAGTTTAGGCGTGAAGTAAGTTTACAGCATAATTGTTCTTATTAAGTTTATTTGTTTCAATCTGTGGAATGCTTCGATGTTGTCTGCCAGCAAATGTCTGACTTATGATTCTTCTCTCGCACCTCCGATTAGCATGGTTGGTTACGTACGGTGCGAAAGAAGTTCAATATACACACATTCTAAAAGCAAAAGTAAGAGAATAAAATCATCAGTCAGATTATATCCATTACTGAATAGGTCTCCCCAAATCACCACCATCTGTCGCGATGGCTGATATATTAAATCACACCGGCCATTCCAAAGTCAAACTACAGCGTTTGTGCTTATGTATTTGTAGTGACTGGCTGACCTTCACTCTACTTTGCACACATATCGTGTTGTTGTGCTGTTTGTTGCTGCAACTTGCTGACCAGCCCCGACTGGACATCTGTGAAAAATAGCTTCATAGCTCATCAGATTCCTTCTGCAGTTCTCACTAAAGATAACCGGTTATCTCTCTCAATAGAGATAACCGGTTCTCTCTCAATAAAGATAACCGGTTTTCTCTCAATAGAGATAACCGGTTCCCGATATAGATAACCGGTTTTCTTTCAATAGAGATAACCGGTTTTCTCTTAATAGAGATAACCGGTTTTCTCTTAATAGAGATAACCGGGTTTCTCTTAATAGAGATAACCGGTTTCTCTTAATAGAGATAACCGGTTTTCTCTTAATAGAGATAACCGGTTTTCTCTTAATAGAGATAACCGGTTTTCCCTTAATAGAGATAACCGGTTTTCCCTTAATAGAGATAACCGGTTTTCTCTAATAGAGATAACCGGTTTTCTCTTAATAGAGATAACCGGTTTTCTCTTAATAGAGATAACCGGTTTTCTCTTAATAGAGATAACCGGTTTTCTCTTAATAGAGATAACCGGTTTTCTCTTAATAGAGATAACCGGTTTTCTCTTAATAGAGATAACCGGTTTTCTCTTAATAGAGATAACCGGTTTTCTCTTAATAGAGATAACCGGTTTTCTCTTAATAGAGATAACCGGTTTTCTCTTAATAGAGATAACCGGTTTTCTCTTAATAGAGATAACCGGTTTTCTCTAATAGAGATAACCGGTTTCTCTTAATAGCGATAACCGGTTTTCTCTTAATAGAGATAACCGGTTTTCTCTTAATAGAGATAACCGGTTTTCTCTTAATAGAGATAACCGGTTTTCTCTTAATAGAGATAACCGGTTTTCTCTTAATAGAGATAACCGGTTTTCTCTTAATAGAGATAACCGGTTTTCTCTTAATAGAGATAACCGGTTTTCTCTTAATAGAGATAACCGGTTTTCTCTTAATAGAGATAACCGGTTTTTCTCTTAATAGAGATAACCGGTTCTCACCGCGGGGTCGTTTATCATCTCCACGCAGCGCCCGCGCCGCGAAGGGAACTCCGCCGATGTCGTCATCTTCGTTCTGGGGGTTTCCCCATTCACATCGCGACTTGATTGGCTGAGACCGCCGGGCCGCTCGACCAATCAGAGAGGGCGGAGCCGATGTTCTTGATCGCCGAACGCGGGCCGCGTGGTAAAGGCGACTCCGAGACTCCGGGAAACTGGGATTGTGGTATGGGACTCCCCCCACCTTTCCCACTCCTTTTGGAGGGGACTCACATTCACGGCGGGAGACTTGAGGGGAGGGGGCACTCATGGAGACCCCGGGACTCAAATTCGCCCCTCCGTGATGCTGTGCCGTAACATTCAGACACATGCGGGGCCTAGTCGGCGATGGAGCCTGCCGCGTTGTCTGCTTGGCCCGCCGTGTTCGCCACACTCTCGCCGGTCGAGAGAGGCGGCCGCGCCCAGGAATGTGAAAGCGGGGTGAGAGAGATGGGGGCAGTTCTTGTCGGTGTGGGGCCGATTGCGGGATTGATGTTTTTAGTCCATTGGCCATAGGTTAAGCAGGACCGAGCCTGGCTCGTGCTTGGATAGGCGACAGCCGCGCATACAAGGCGGTGTCTGTCGGCCGCGGGACGAGGCTGCGAGCGGCATGTTTGCAGCGCAGAAACACGCAGCTCGCACTGCACGTGTGTGTGTGTCCCAGCGTGTGTGCGACAGCCCGGCCTCGCCAGCTGCTCGCACAGCGTGGCGGGGCACCCGGTGCAGGATTGACGACAGGGCTGTACTCTATTTAAAAATACATTTATATTCATTGCTTCACACAAATATCCGTTTGAACCGATGCTTTCCAGCAGGTTTGTTCTTGTATTACTACATCAAGCTGGGCCGGTTTCGACTTATCTGGGTCTCCCCGGTAATTGGCAGGTGTAGCACACTTTGCGATGGGGCCTTGTTCAACTCAAATACACTTTTTTTTTAACGAGCATTATTGCCGGTAATATAGTTTCCAGCAGTGGATTGACGACGTTCTCGACATGTATCAAGGTAGAGAGGTAAGTAACTACAGGATGTTGAATTTAGATCGCACCGTAAGTAGCCAGCCGTGCTGATCGCAGTTGGTAGAGGCGCGGGCCCTGCTGGTGGAGCCCTTCTGTTCTGGCCGATTCCACGCAGCCAGACGTCTCGAGAGAGCCGTGCACACCCACGCTTTGCCCTGCCGAGCGACACGCTGGTGGGTCCATTTATACTGCTGGGTGGCCCGATGCGGAACGATTTAATTAGCTTGCTCATTAGATTTTGATTTAAAGCTTTCGTGACTGCAGGGATTCATCTTCTTGGTTCTTTCGGTAAAGTCACGTAGAAGGGAAGTAATAAAATAATAAAAGAAAACATAATAAAATTATTCTCACGACGTTTCGGCCACAACGCAAGCAGCCGTCCTCAGGTGAAAACCAGGTCCGTCGAGGCGACAGAGTCTGACTTTACCGAAAGAACCAAGAAGATAGCTTGCTCATTGTTTCAACTGCCGCCCCGGGAGATCAAAACGGCGACCTCTGGATTGCAAATCGAGTGTATAAACCATGAGACCATTATTATTTTATTATTTCAATTCTACGTGACTTTACCGAAATAACCAAGAAGATGAATCCCTGCAGTCACGAAAGCTTGAAATCGAAAAATGAGACCAAGGTACTAACAGCAAATATCCGTGTCTGCCACCAGAGGGAGCCCCCGTGCCCTATAGGAGCCGCCTCTCCAGAGCGGCGGAGCGATGTCGGGGCCTACGGGCTCGGGCGCTGGGGACGGGGCAAAGTCCCCCGCGCCCTCGGCCTCTCCCATGCTGCTGCCCGGCAGGAAGGGGCCCCCGATCGCGGGTGCCCCAACTCCGGGCCGTCTCCCGTCCATCCGCTCTCGAGACCTCACCCTGGGCGGCGTGAAAAAGGTGGCCGGTCCACGCGGCTTCCTTCACACGCGCCGCCGCGCCACGTGACTCGAATTGCCACGTGGCATGCGTGTGCGGCCATTATTGGGCACTGTCCGCTCCTTGGTGAGATCGATCGCGGTTGAGAAGTGCTGGACGAGTGTTGTGTGGCAAGCGATTTGGGAGCGGAGCGCACGAGTTCTAACCCTAACCAGCCACCATGTCTAGGCATACTCATAAACCCGAACCAACAAGCTACTGGAGCTTATTGTTAATCTTTCTGAACCAATTCATACAACCAACTCCTCGCACCAGACCGAATCTTAACCCGAACCAAGTAGCCACCCGGCCACAGGTCCCAGCCCTAACCCAGCTCTAATCCGCAGCAGGGCTTTAACAAGAGCCCCGCCTCACATTGCGTGCGGTTGATGATGTTGGTGTTCCCAGCCCTGGCAGCCTCGCGTGAATGGTGTAACGGGTCACGAATGAAGGGCAGAGGTCACTG